CCCCAAAACCCCAAAACCCCAAAACCCCAAAACCCCGTGAAGTATCAATCAACTTGAAAAAATAGAATTAGGATTAAGAGCCATCTTCAGTGATTTTTTGGATATGAGTCTTGATAACTTTGCCATTTTCGTCCAGAATTTCGTGTTTTTCAGCAACTATTTTTCCTCTTCTTCTAACCATAGTGATTTTTTTGGATGTACCTTTACCGTCTGAAGGAGGTGCATCGGCTTTGGCTCCTGCATTTTGGACCTCAGAGGCTCCTACTTTTGAGGTATCTTCATTATTGGCAGCAGCTTTAGTTGTACCCACATTGGAGGTAGCAGCATTGGCAGCATTTACGCTAGAGGTTATTCCTTCCTGTTTGACTGCTGCCTTCAACTCTTCTTGAGCTGATGCTTTCACTACTCCTGAAGACCCTCTAGATCTTTTTCTTTGATCAAGCTGTCTTGTGATTTCAGCATCTATTTCTTTTTCATCATTTTCCTTAGTTTGTTTTTGAATGATGTAACTTTTACGTCTAGCTACGATTTGCTCCTCACTTTGCTCTTCTTTATCTTTACTAAGGATTCACCACAATAAAATTCCGATAGAAATGAGCCCAAAGATAATTATTGGTATTAGCCACCATAGAAATCCTCCTGTATTTTTTAAGCCAGCTTCTGCATCTTGCGCGAATTGGATTGGGGCTGGTCCTAATGTTGCATCTGAGTTAGATCCGCTTCCCGCAATATCAATATCATGAATATAAGTTGCTTCCGATCCATTTCCTTGAGCATTTGAAGAATGCCTCATATGCTGATCGTGTCTTCTGCCAGCTGCTGTGTTTCTTGAACCTTCTTCTGTAATAATTTTAACTGGCTCATCAACAGCATCATTTTCATGAACTTTATTAGGCTCTTCAACGATAATTTTTCTTTTCAAAGGAGGAAGTGGTTCTCCAATAACAACTCTTGAAGTTCTCTGATTCGGTAGCTCTTCGACAATAACTCTTCTCATATGATCAGCAACTCCACGATGCTCATGATGATTTTGCACAGATTCATGAGCCGCAGCACTATTACTATGGCTCTGTGGCTCATCTTCTGAAGCATATCTCTCTGTGACATACTGAATAGCTGGACGAACAACATATTGATCAGTAGGGTGATGTTGATTGGGAGCATGTTCGTTGCGCTTAATATCAGAGACTCTCTCTAAAATTATTTCCCTCGAATTTTCTATAGCTGAGTCCTCTTCATTACTATGAGAATACAAATCAAAATTTTCTTCTTGAGTTACAACTTTATGAGAGGTTTCGCTTTGATTTTCCTCTGATTTAGCTTCAGAATCTGCATGCGAATCAACTGGAACATGAATAATAGATCCTTCATCGTCACGCTTAGAAGAATGATCCGTCCAGTCACCAGCAACGTGAGAGTTTCTATGAGCTCTTGTTCTACCATCATTTGTAACATAAGCAACTCTTGAAGTCTGGACGTCAAACTCAGATTTATTATCCAAGTTTTCTATAAGTCTTCTAACATTGCTAGTAGTTGCATTTTTATTCTCAGGAAGATCTCTTAACTGATTACTTTTATTTAAGCCCTGGAAATCTTTATTTCTTCCTTGAGGCTTGCTTGGATGACTCTGTCTTCTACAGTTGGGTGAGCGGCAGTGTTGTGCAGAGTTTCTCTGAGCATCAGCAATATTAGCTATGCAACTTAAGAGCATTACCAGCATTAAGAGAGTTCAAAAGCTTCTGGACATTCGGAGAGCTGTTAAATTATTTATGATAAATAAAACTCGTTCAACGACAATAATCCGAGAAGGGGTTTTGGGGTTTTGGGGTTTTGGGGTTTTGGGG